GCTCTGCAGCTCACAGTGCCTTGTCGTGGGGCAGCAGCATCCTCAGGTCCATGGGAAACCTTGAGTCCTGCCCCGCTCTGAGCACTGGCCTGGCACCTGTTAGCCCAAGCCCTTTGCCAGCCTGTGTGTTTCTCATGGATCTGGTGTTCTCATGGCTTATGACCATGTCCAGATGACAAACTAGCTGCTGCAAAGGGTTTTTGCATCAGTGGGACTGTGCCCCTTGTGCTGTCACCTTCGCCTTCCTCATCCCTACCGTACCAGTCCAGCCATGCCATTGGCAGCCACCAGCTTCACTCTTTTGTTTCCAAAGGATACAGACCTTGTATCCACCCAAGGTGCTATCAAATGCAGGGTTTCTTCCAGAAAACCTAGCCCCTTCATCCTTTTCTGAGCTGTGAATGAGGTGACAGGGAAGGGGAAGAAAGCCGGGGCTGCAAGGAGCAGCTGGCGTTTAAGGAAAAGCCTGACCTGTGACACGTAGCTGTTGGCAGATGGAGTTGTCTCAAATCTACCTCAGAGGCCATCTGTTGCTGCAGACCACTTTTCCCTCTTGCTTCTGCCCACTGCCACCTGTGCGCGCTGGGCAGGACATTGTGGGTGCCCCACCAGCTCAGTCCCCCGCTGCCTCTTTGCTGGGGAGCAGCATCTCCTGCCCAGAGTTCTGGGGGTCAGCGCCAGCTTGCTGAGCTTTGGGGTGCCATGCACCAGTCTAGATGTGGTAGGTGTGCAGTAGATGGGCATCTCCCACCCCACAGCTCTCCTCCAGGGCAGTTTCGGTAGCTGGGCTTTGCTGTTGGTGCCTCTTGTGCAGCAAAGCCAGCTGTAGCTTTAGTTCTGCTTTGCCACAGCAGGAACAGGCGAGTGGTGCGCTCCCGCGGCTGGGCGAGAAGAGGGGACGCAGGGTTGTGAGGAGCTGGGGTGCTCCTCGATACGCAATCCAGGGTTGAGGTCCACCTTCCCCGCGGGTGAGGGAAATGTGTGATCCTTAGCGTGCCCCTTTCGGGCAGCTGAAGTCCGGCTTTCTCCGAGTACAACTCTAGCTCAAGGCTGGCGCAGTTGTCCTTCACATTGTTCGTGTTTGGAGGAACGGGTGACAGTTGATTTTCTGCCTCTCTTTGTGCTGAGTCAGGTTTTTTCCCTCTTTCTGGAGGTGTCTTTTCTTCCTCCCCTTCTCCTTGTTGACCCCAGCTAATGCTGGGCACCAGAACAAGAAAATGTGCAGGGACACGAGGACAATTGGTCAAATTCCACTTGTCCCGCCATCCCCACGACCTCTGAGTGTCAAACGAGGGATGTCAGCAGCACTCTGGGAGAGGGATCCCCCCTTTTTCAGGGAAACTGAGGAAGGAGACTTTGGAGCAGAGCCCTTGGTGGCATCTTGCAATTGCTCCTTGTATCCCATGATGGGTCGATAAAACACCTCGCAGCTCAGAGGCAGCAACAGTACCTGCAGTGCAACGTGATGAGAGGCAGGGAAAAGAGCTTTATATTAGAGAGGATGTGGAAAAGGTCCAGTGTGAGAGGTTTTTCCTTTCTCCTGCCTCTTCCCATCCCCAGCCATCTACTGCCACGAGCCCTCCAAAAGCGATTGGTGGCCAGCATCTCTGCAGAGCATCAGCCGGTCCTTTCTGCAAAGCCAGTGCCTGGCAGCAGCTGAGGTGTTGGCTCTATGAGCAGGTGACACATACAGTCCCCCCAGAAAACGGCTGCTGAACGGTTCCTCCTCCTGCCTGCTTCACTTCAGGCAGCTTCTCCACGTGCACAATCCTACGTCTTCATAAAGTAGCTAATTATGCTGTGTAGCCCAAGTGCCTTATGTTGTCATGTAGTCTCTCGTACGCTTGATCTGTGTAGTAGATCAGTAGCTGAACGCCCTCCCTCTTTACAATCTATGTACAACATATGCTACATTTATGTGGGTTTTTTTTGTTTTCTTTTTTTGTTGCTGTTGTTAGAGCTACCAGTAAAAGGGACAGTTTGTTTTGGAAGCATTTCCATGTGTTCTTTTTTACACCTATAGATGATGGGGCTTTTTTGCCCACCGCTGTCTTTAGTCCTCAGAAATCCCCATCCTTCTCCCGTTGTACCCAAACGTGGCAGGATCCCTGGGTCTGAGGTGGTTTTTTGAGCTGAGCCTTTGCTTCAAGGCAATCTGTGCTGTCATCCCAGGGGTCTGCAATCCACCCTCCATCAGAGGGGCTGCCACAGGCTGCTTCCCTCTCTGTCTTGTAGTGCGAGCACCATCCCTCGGCTACAAGCCCACAGTAACTGCTTCTGTGTCCGCGTCATTTCTCAGCACACCGAGCCTTCTCTTCAGCCCAAAGAGCTTTTTCTGTCCCAGATGGAGTATTTTCATTGCAAGCCTTCAGTGGTCAGTCTTTCCTGGACCACTCTGCATACAAAGATGCTGAGAGCCCACTTTCCTTGTGTGGGTGCTCTTCTGGTGCCCCATCTTGTCAAGCCCTGTGTCTTCTCCAAAAAAGACCTAACCCCAAGGAGGAGCTTGCACCCTTCCTGTGGGCTTGAGGCTGTTTTTGTAGTCCATGTCCATTATCCAATCCAAGAAGGTTGGGGATTGAGTAGTCTGTCATTTTTGGTGTGAAGCATAGTGTTTTCCTGTCCTAGCCTAGAAGAGCTGGGAAATGCTGGCAGTAGTTCTCTCTTTTGGTCTTAGATAGTTGCGGAATGGGCTTGGGAAGAGAAAGGGGCAGAGGAAGAACAGATGTAGCATTTCACATGTAATTTTTGAGTGACTTATGGGGCATTACAGTTGCGGGTTTTTTGTTTGTTTGTTTAGGATTCTTTCTTCTTTCTGACTGTGTTTGGGTTAGTAGTAAAGAAGACAAAGTTCCAGTTCCCCTGTAGGTCCTCTTACCCTTCACTCACCATTTTGAAATGTATTTTTGGTAGGCTTCCTGGTTGGAGGGAAGAATGACTACACTAGGATGGCTCCCCCTTGCCTCCAAGTGACTCTTGAAGCCTGTAGGTACTTTCCTGCAGTGCGTGGGGGTTTACAGCAGCCTCTGCCTCTTGCCTTAGGTGAAATATTGGTAGATGGACCCCCCACTTGTGTCAACAGTAGATGAAGGTGATGGGGTTTGATTTCCAGCCTTTTGGTAGACTTCGTGAGCGTGTAATAGATGGTTTGGCAGGCTTTAGACTCTAACTGAGGTTTGTTACTTTGCCTTGGGGTTGTGTGTGGGGAAGAGTGGCTGTAGTAAAAGCCAGGCAGAGGCACATAGTTTTTCTTTGAATATGTTTGATCTTGATGGACCAAACTTTAGCAAAGGAACTCGAGGAAAATTTCTGTTCTTCCATATTTATGCTTTAGTGCAACTTTCCGAATTTTGGAGGGGGTGGGGGTAAGTAACAGTCTCTGATATTTTATCCCATTCATTTCATTCTTCCTGTCACTTCAGGTTTTGTACGGATTTTGTTTGTTGTTGTTTGTTGTTAAATGACTTTTGTGATACACTCAACAAAAGTATTTTTCTGAAATAAATAAATAAAAGGCATAGATTCTTCCATTGCTGCTGTCCACTGATGCTTTATCACTCTGTATGCATTTCCAAAGCAGGCTGCGATGCATTGTACTGGTGTCTCTCCTGCCATACCAGATTATTCTGTTCCCCTGGGTGCGGCATATTGGGTCCTCGTGTTCCCCACAGCTGGGGTCCATCTCCTTGCATTTCCCACATCTACAGCATAGGCAGCTGCTTCTGAGTTAGTTATCCGTGGCTGCCTCCATTGCTGGGAGTGGAGAATAAGGGCATTTGGAGGATATGATTTATCTGATGTGGTTTAGGTGCATACTTCATGGTGAACTAAACTGTATACTTTCTGCAGCTGGCCCCGGCATGCTACGTGATTTGGCTGAGTATTAGGTTACAGTTTCATAGCATGTGCAGAAAACGGTTTCTGACTTTGTTTTCTACAGCCTACAGCTCTGGTAATTTCATCTGCAAGTCTTGGTCCCCGGAAAAGCTGATTAAGGTGGCCTTTAGCAGTTAGCCCTTGTCAGCTGCTGCTCGGAAGGCACCTCAAGCAATGCCAAGCTGTGCTTTGAAATCCTAGGTGGACCTGAGCAAGCTGGAGCGATTCTTGGTCAGTGTGAGCAGCAGCACAAACCAGGCCCAGAAGAGAAGAGCGATGACCTTTCCCAGCAAGGGCAGGCAGGAGGGAGCTGTCTGAGGGGAAGTGGGAATCCACAGCACAAAAGCTGATTTTAAGAAGCATTTTGTTTCCAAGAGCTTTGTTCTCTGCTGTGTGCTCGGTAGCTGCCTTTCATATTTGCTCAATGGCAATACCTTGATAGGTTGCATAAGATGGGTTTAGATGGTATCTCAGTCCGAAAACCATTCTCCCAACCTGTTGTTAAAAAATGCAAAGGTGCTGTCAGCAGATTTGTGTACAGACCCCTGCTATCTCCATAGGTCTGCGAGAGCTAAACTCGCCACTCCATTTCAAGTAAACCCAGAATCACTGTTTTGTGGGATTTTCTTACCCTCATTTTAATGCTTAGCTATTCTAGCCATTGAGGTACTTTTATTTAAAGGAGATTTAGTAACACTTATAGCAGCTGTGCTTGATTTGCTTACATTCAGACTAGCAAACATGAGTTTATCGTGGTCCATGGCAGGGCTCTTAGATCTTCTTGCAATGCAAATAACAATTTAAACTGGCAGTCTTCACTGCTTGAAGGTGAAAGGCCCATTTTGACTCTGTAAGAGAAATCTAGCATGGTTATCACTGTGAGTTTCATTTCAATATCCAGCAGTTGTGAGGTTGAGTTTGGTGGTGGCAAAATGGGCAGGGAGAGGTTTGGAAAGAAAAAAAGTTAACAAGGTGAGGGTGAAATGAGCTGGCTCTGGTGAGGATGGAAGGGAGAGAGTGAGTGAAGGAAAGGTGAGGACTAGAGCACCCTTTTGGAAGTACAATGTCTTCAAATCAGCTAAGAATTTTATTGCTGGTCTTGTGCTTCGGCTTCCGGGCAAAGTTCACGAGGGGAAGGCTCTAAGGAAGTCCCGGTAGTTTATCATGTCTTCTCCACAAGAACATAGCTCAATCAGCTGAGGAAAAAGAAAAAAGAACAATCAAGATACAACAGAGAGTCAGAAAAAGCTGCAAATTTCTTTTTTTTAGGGAAAAGTGCCCAGAGGTACTCCTCGTGTGATAGAGCAGATCTTATTTCTCTTTTTGGAAAAGCCTACCACCTTAGTAGTCCTGAATCACAGGTGACCTTGAGTGCTTACAGGTGACACCAATCTATGCAAGGGGAAGGGTTAAATTGCTTGAGTTTAATCCCAGTTGCCTTCTGAGTATCACCACAGTGGCAACAGACCCACAAAAAAAATCAAGCATGGCCACTGACTGACATAGGCCACAGCAAATCTTTCAGAAACCCCACAGAAATCTCTGCCAAAAGCAGGATGGGGGCAGCAGATCTGAGCAGTTACCGCTCGCTGGTGTCACTTCGGTGTGTGCACATGGCATAAAGTGGAGATGCAGATAATTGAGCTCAGCGACAGCCCCACTAATGAGCCAGTGCTGGTATCCGTGCCTGACCCTGCATTGTGTTACAGAGTTATAGCCTTTGTGCGTTTAAGGGGAAGAAAGAGGGCTTTTGTTTCTTTAATTGCATAACTAATCTCCTTCTGACACCCAGGGAGATGGAAAAGGTCTAATATCACAGTTCCTTGAAAGGATTCTTCTTCCCCTTGTCTCCTGGAGACAGATTTATTAGGGTTGCTCTCGTGTGTCTGACAGCTGTGCTCCTCTCCAACGCAGACAGTTGTTAACTGTCTGCCATATGTTTAATTTACAGCACTGCCACGCTTCTGAGGGCTCTGGCCACATTTCTTAAGATTTCAAGAGAGAAGAGGGATGTTTTTAGTGCATAGGTCCTAGATGGGGATTCAAACATGGGGTTTAGCCTCAATTGTCACAGGTTCTCCCCATGCTCTTGAGCATTTCACTTCATCTCCCGTTCTCAAAGTGGTAGCAGGAAGAACTGTCACCACATGTGAATTCCTCAGGGCAGAGTGGTCTCCAGTGAACTCTGGTACAGCAAAACCCCAGCTGCTGGTCCTTATTCAGTGCACATTCAGGGACATAAATACCCTCCCTGTGCACCTTTCTAACCACAGCTGTGATGCTCACAGTTGGCTGGTTTAGAAAATGTTGTTGTTTTTTTTAACAAGGGAAAATACTCCCTTTGGTTTCTAGATTTCTTTAAACTCTGAGTCTGCTTTTATTGGCCACTAATGTACTGCATATCACATCATGCTAAAACAGCATCCTTGTCAGTCGTATACCTGAAAGGATCCTCAATTCACGCTGTATGAATTTTTCTTTTCAGTTTCTACCACATTTCCTGTTATGCACACTGTGATCTCCATGTCCTGTTGCTCATAGTGCCCAGCAAGCCTATGTTTTAGTTATGTTAACCCAGTAGTTACGAGTCTTTTTTCCTAAGGCTCATTCCCTAAGCACCTGGCTGTCATCTCTACTCAAGCCCAGGTGTCCCTGTGTCATGACACACAGTAGCTCTGCAGTAGCCTATGCCTGGTCTCTATCATGATATACAACCTCTTCTGTTCACCTCTGAGACCTGAGCCAGGAGACATTTTTAGGCTTCACATAACAGTGCAGCCAAACACAAGGGTGCTCATTCAAGGGGCAACCTGTGTAACATTTTTTTCCCTTTACTTAGAGAACAGTAATTATTATTTCCTCCTTTAAGACACAGGCTTGGCCCAACAGCTCAGAGCCCTTTCTGAATTGGGACCCTCTTGCCCTTTTCTTGAAGCTGTTCTCCTTTGTAGGGTAGAGCAGCTGTTGGTCTCGCCTGACTAGCGTTGGTTTGTAGAAGAGGAGAGGGATTCAGTGTGCACAGCAGCCCTTGCTTCTGACCTTATTAAGAACGGCACTGGTCGGCACACTCAAGCTTTCACAAAGGGATGTGAATTTTGCTTTGTCCAGGATGCCAGAGCCATCCTTGTCGCACTGCAGAAATGCTTCCTGAATGTTCTTGTTGTTCAAGTACTCATGGAGTTTCAGCTCCTCCTGAACCTGCACAATTAATTCATCCAGTTCCTGCTTGCGGGTCTCAAGATCTTGAATGTCACTGTAGAAGAAAGGAAGAACAGGACTTCATGTAAAAGCTACTTCTGGCAGCCTTACTGTGACACTTGTGTGCTGCCTGCGTGCCATGGCTTGCCAGATTCAGTATTTCTGAACACACAGAAAGCTTCTGGTTTTGGAGATGAAGCTCAATCTTGGAGCATTAGGTTAACTATTTTCCCTTTGCAGGACATTTACCCCATGCACATTTTGTCTGCAGGTGCTCTGGGACAAGGAGCATTTCCTTGCAGGCTCCATACAGTCCCAGGAGCTGTGTGCAACTCCAGTTTCAACCAGAGCCCCTGAACTGCCGTAACACTGACTCCAAAGTGTCTTGTGAGGTAATAGGGTTTTTACTGGGTCACCCAAAATGGGTCCAGACAGCTGAAAAAGCGGATGTGGTCTAGGGTCTGATGGGCTGATAAGCACAAGCCAGAGCAGATGAAAAAAAAAAAAGACTCCACCAACTCTCCTCTGAGCCTGCAACCACCTAATAGCCCATGTAGACACTGTTAGCACCATCTGTTAGTTAACTGCTCTCTTTTGGGAAAAGATGTCTGTGTTCATTTAGCTGAAAGGATCTCTGCTGCCGAGCCAGAGCTGTCCCACAAGGTTTTTGGGTCAGCAGCAGCTGCAGCGTTGTATTTGTATAACCAGTACACACTGGACCTCCTCTGTATGTGTCCAGGCACAGGCTCTTGGAGCTAAACAACCTGAGCAGCCATCAGACAGGAGACTGGAGCCCATGGAGGCTGCTGGAGATCCCTTAAGCTGTCAACCCTGAGTCTCATTTAGCTCCACAACGCCATCCTTTGAAGCCTACCTTTTGTCAGTCTCCTCTACCATCCGCCGTGAGCGAAAATGATCCCTCATGGACTGCAGTGTTGCTGCAGGGAAACTCTCTGCATTGCTCTCCATATAATTAAGCACATATTCATCAGCATCAGTGATAACAAACCTGCGGCCAAACACTGGGGACGAAGTATTAAAGAAAGCAGTGTTACTTGCCTTTCAGCATGGGTAAGTCATTTCATCACCCAGGAGAGAGCATGGTTTCTCTCTTGTGGCTGAGCTCAGGTTTGCACAAGCTCTGCTATTTGTTTCAGTTCTCATAATGGGAAGGGTTTCACTGACCCAAAGGGAGTTTTGCTGCAAGAAAAGCAGCTGCTAAGAGCAAAGGCCCTGTGCTTTGCCCTACAATGATCCCCCCATTAGCACTGTGTGTCTGTTCAAGCATTGGAACAGGCTGCTCAGGGAAGTGGTGGAGTCACCATCCCTGGAGGGGTTCAAGAAGCGTGTGCATGTGGCACTTCAGGACATAGTTTAGTGGCCATGGTGGTGTTGGATTGATGGTTGGACTTGATCTTAGAGGTCTCTTCCAACCTTAATGATTCTATGATTCTAAGTTTCTGAATATTTCAGTATTACATTTACTTTCCTTACAAAATAGATGGCCTTTGTTGCTTGTAGTCTTAGCTAAGCTTGTAGGCTTAGCTTTAACTCTGTGAATCCAGAGAAGTCCCAAAATGTAAACTGAACACATGCTATGGAGAACATAACTCTTTTCCTAATTAAGATAAAAGGCCCAAACATTGACAGTAACAGATTTATACCAGTGTACACCAGCTGGTATCTGGAAACTCAAATGTGATGAGACTCAGAAGGAGCAGATCTTTCAAGTGAAAGAAGGTATATGCACTGTCCATGCAATAAAAGACTTATCAGAGCTGGCACTAAAAACTGATGCTCAGACTGGATAATCTATCCAGGCTGGCTTTTACCTTCAATTGTAGAACCGATGGTGAGGTCAGAGGGCTCATAGTACATGGCATTCTCTGTAGTAGAGCCCGGTTTGGCAACTCTGGTCTTTTTTAAGTATTTGCCTCCAATGATGCCAGAGTTACGGACCTGAGGTTCAAAGATGCTGATCATGTCATTGGAGAGGAAGTAGGAGAGGATGAAACGAAGCTCTCTGTCCTCAGGGTTTGGTGATTCCTAGAGGAAAGATAGTGGCTTTGGAAAACAACATTTCAACCAGGTGTTTTCTTTCTGGGGTGCTTAGGAGTACCTAATAACCCACTCATAAGCACCCAAAGTTCATAGCTTTCTTTATGGCTGACTAAACAAAGTGCCTGATGTAGGCCAAAAGCTACAGATGTGCTGACATAGCATAACAAAGCCCTAGACAGCGTTAAGTATCTGAATTTCAAAGGTTGCTTTCCCTAGTCAGGCTAAAAGAAGCAGAATCTGGGCTGCAGTGACCAAGTATATTCACTGTTTCCACAGACTGAGTAATCCAAGAGAAAGGAATATCCTATATGGAATGAATCATCACAGAGAGAGAGAGAGAGACTGGCTGTAAAATTTAGTATTAAAGTTATACTTTTCATTGCAACGGGTGCCTGAGAGAGATTGGTGCTGCTTCCAGCTCTTAGTCACAGGAAGACACTCCCCTGACACACCAGTGGGGTTACTTGCTTATTTTAAAATGAAATGGATCTGAACTTGTCAGTTGTGACCTTTAGGAACTCCTGCACAATGAGAAAAAGAAATCAGCCTTTATTCACCCTGAGTGTTTGGAGAGGGCAGGCACCGGGCAGCACAGGAAATGCCATTGCTACTGCTGGACGTGCCAGAGGCTCCTTGCATAAACCAACTGGAAAGCTGGCACAAAGGCCAAGGCCTGAGTGCTGTTGTGTGTGGAAAGCCCCATCTCCGTGGACTCCCCAGCTTCTACACTGGCTCTTGGCTAGCACAGCCCCTTGCTGGCTGCTGTGGCCAGTGCTAGCCTGGAGAAGGGCAGGTGCTGGGAGCCAGCAGTGGAGAGACAGCAAGCTCATGCTTGTGGCAGTGGTTGAAGGCAGACAGAGGCACAGTGCCCGGTTGCAATGCTGTTTCAGTTGGGGCCATCTGTCACGTGCTGATGTCAGTGGGAGTTTTTCCATAAATGGCTGTGGTTTTGTAGCATGGCTGTTTTGCACTTGCTGGCCTTCTTCTTTTCTCTACTTTTTTGTGTTACTGATTGTCATAGCAAGTACACAGTAACCCAATGGCATCCCCTGAGAGGCACTTGTGTTGATCTGGGGAACTGCCTTTTCCCACCAGCACAGAGGAGAATTTGCTAAGAGCCTTGTCTGAGCAGGCTGTTCCTCTCATCCTTCTGACTCTACAACATAAGCTGGCACTATACCATCAAGGAAAGCACTTACCAGGCCCACTTGGTATCGCAGGACCTTGTGGTCATTCTCTGGCGTCTTAATTAGGTCTTTCCGGGGAGGCTTTGGAATCGGAGAAAAACAGTTCTGATGAGTGTCTTCAAGGATGCCAAAACCATTATAGGGAGGAATTACCTGCATCCAGAGGAGAGATAAAGCATAAACAGCTGAAACTAAGAACAAGACAATGTTTGCAAGACAGCTTATCAGAAAACATCTGTTTGAAAAGACATCTTCTGTCACCAGGTAGCAATAGCTGTGAAACCCTGCCCATTAGAAATGCTACTAGCCTGGCCATGTGTTGGACCCCTTAATTATATATTAATATATATATACTTAAAGAGAATTAAGAAAATCTGAAAATTAGAAAGCCAGGTAATTTCTCTGATTATGGCTGTACTAATAATTAAACCTCACTGTGCACAGGAACTCAATCTATATTGTTACACTGTTAACCTAATCCAGATCATGTTTGCGGTCTAGGCCAGCTAGCACTTCATACCATTTCTAGACTCAGTTTGGGATGTAACAAGGGCTGTGACCATCCTCAGCAGGCAGTTTGGACTTAGCAACCCTGTTTTGGAAGGTGAGAGGACAGTTTAGTAGTATGAGTGCAGCCAGACTGAGCCAGTTGGCTTCCCAGTGAAAAACAAACCCTGACACTGTTTAATTTTCTAGTATAGACATAACCAGAATTCTCTCTATCATGATTAGCAAGTGCTTTGTCCTTTACAGTATTAGAAATCAGGAGTTTTAGAGGAGTTTCGATAATTACCATTCTTGCCTTCTCTTTTTCAAGTTACTTGCTCTTTTCTTTAAGCTGAACATGTTTACTGTAGGTTCTTAGTAAGCTGAACCTGCACTTTACTGTAAGAGCTTTTACTGACTTCTTCCTTCCCTCCCTTCCTTTGAGAATTTTTTTGCAGTACCTGTGGAACTTTCTCACATGGTTTCTTCTTTATTTCCACTGGCTGGAAGTCCGTGATGCCAAATTTGTCACAATAGAATTTTCGTGTGAACTCATCGCAATCATAGATGAAGAAGGTGCGTCCAAGGAGGGTGGTAGATTTGCCAACAGCAAAGTCTTTAGCTGTGTACCACTGAAGTACCTCCTCATCAGAGATCTCCATAACACAGCTTGGGAAGGTCTCTTAGGACAAGGGAGCAAAAGGAAAAAATAAATCAATCAGGTAGATGTTAGAATTTCCTAGTAAAAAAGGATACAAAAGCAAGCTGTATAAATAGCTCCAGGGAACTGTTGGTATTGCTGTCTTGCCACTGTTTCCCAAAAGATAAAGAATTTAGTTATCATGTAAAGAACTTTTCTTTGGCCAAAAAATGATGACACTTGGAGTGCTCTCAGCAAAAATTCTCTAGACTTGGTGTACCTCTGACACAGTCACCACATACATGTCTACCCACCAAGGCAATTTAGCAGAGGAACAATCTAAACTTACTTTTGTTTTCCACAAAGGCTTTGGGCAAGCGTTGGCGTCTTATCAGTACTGGGAATGGTTGTCTACCATCATTTTGCTTATAGACTTCCCGAACCTCCACTGTGTCGTCTGCCAAGAAGTAATGGATGATGCAAGGCCGAATCTCACCAAACATGCTGTTAGTGTCATCCCACATGGCATAGAAACGAAGGACCTAGGGTTAAGAAAAAAAAGAGGCAGAGAAAACAAACATGGATCAGAATTACTAACGCTTTGTCCAAATGAAGTGGGTTGAAATGGGTTGGGTGTTTGGAGGCATCTCAGCAATCTTTTCTGCCAGGTACTGAAGAACCAAGACCTTGTACTGAGGGAAATGGGATGAATGGGCTGCTGAGGCAGCAGTGGGAAAGGCAGCATGGACCTCCAAAACTGGACAGGTCTGGCTCACCTTGAAAGCTGCAAGTGAGACAGAGCAGTTTATGCTAAGACAAGAAATTTAATTCAGGAAGCATGAGGAAAAATGGGGGAGAAGTGATTTAAAAAGCAGTAGAATATAATTGCCCAAGAGTGAGTAGGGAAGTATTATTAAGGGAAGTTATTTTTAAAACGAAACTTAATACAGCAAGACAGAATCTTGTTTTGACTCTTAAACCTCTTAAAGGTTTCATGGCCAATTCTTTACTACTCCCATGCTGAGGAAGGCAGAGGGGAATGCACTCAGCAGTTCTGAGGAGGCTGCACTCACCGCAGATCCCATCTTATTTCTGTCAAGTAGAAATATCATCTTTTCATGCCATAAAAATCAAACTCCTCACACTGCAATGCTCAAGAGTACCCCAAGGTACAGGTCCTATACAAGCAGCCTAGTTGCCATTGCAGGCAGAGCTGCCCCAGCACAGAGCTGAGACACTAAGCCTGAACTGGCAGTAAAATGGCAACTGAGTATGATTCTGGCCTGTGCTAACACCTAGCTGGTAGCCAGGAACTGTTTGATTGATAGCTGGCCAGGGACAATATGCAAAACTCAGGTCATGTCCTGGCCCTGTTTTATTTCTAGCATAGATGTAGTCTATCGGGTTTCTTACATTGCTAGATGAAAAGAAGATCCAGAGGAGCAGGGAGGAGAGTGCTAGTCAACTGTGTGCAAAAGAAATCAGAGCAAGTGGCATTTGTGTTTGTCTGATATTGTCCACTCTGTCACCAGGCTTCAATGTTTTAGGGAATGGAGGAGTGGATGCAGCATGCCCATTCCTATTAGAACTGCATCTGGCTGCTAACTTCTCGAGGCAGATGGCTTATCTCATCCCAACAGAAAGCAAGAGAGAAATAGAGGATCTAGAGCATAGGCTCTGCAATTCAAAGAGAAGCTGTTTACAAGGCACAAAGCCCAGCAAAAACATAAAAGGTTTTGTTTCCCACTAAAGCCAAGAAAGGAGCAAATCTGGAGTCTGTTCAGTGGACTGAGATTTTTTAGAATGAGTAAGGTTGCAGACACTCACAAGACTCAGGTTTCAATAGCATGTGTAGTCTGTAATGTGGGTAATCACTACCAGCTCTCTCACCTGCTTGTCGTAAGTCAGAAACTGTTTGAGTTGGTCAAAATCTGATGGCGTGATGTACTTGCGTATGGGCATCCGATGCATTTCTGTGTAAGGATCGAAAGGCATTTCCTCTGGAGGGTTCAGTTCAATTCCTTGGCTCTCCAGGAACACCTAGGAAGGTCATCTGAGGTATTAATGCTGCCATGAGTTCTGAAGATAAAAGGTAACTAGAGATTACAGATGGGCTGAGATGAATATTGTCAGAATACTGTGCATTCATTCCTCACAGACCACCAGGCTGCAGGAGTATTAGTTCTACTGCAATAACAAATACTACAGAATATGACCAAGATGTTTCTGTTTAAGCTGCTCCTTAGCTTTGCAGTCTTGTCCTCAACATCCTAACTCAGATTTTACTTGAGCATGGTTTGCCTTGGCCTTAAATGGACCATAACTGTCAGTTGGTCTCTTTTATGTAAACAAAAAAGATTAAATTAGTGCATAACCATGGAGTTAGTCAGTCTGAATTTGCAAGAGATCTAGGGCTTCCCAATGTGTCAGACAGTGGAAGTCAGTGCTACCCACACCAGGTCCACCAAGGCCCTTCAGGCCATAAGAATATGTGCCATAAGAATATATTCATTTTAGTACATGCCTTCTTTCAAGAGGAGTACTTTTCCCATAGAAAGAGGGCAATCTGCTTGTTATAAATAAGCAAGAGTTTTAGAACAATCTCCTTGTTAATTTTTGCTTACCTTGGATGCATCAACAAACTCTGGGGTATTACTTGTGTACTCACATCAGTCACCCAAAACAACCACTGAAGGCAAAGGACTTCTTCCCTTTTTGGCCTTGGGAAGTGGCCCATGAAAACGTTCAGCCCAGGAAGCACCTATGCAAACATCTCCAACAGGCACATGAGATCACCCTGAATACTCACAAGGCAGGTTCATACTTCCAGACTATTTTCTGGTCTGGAGGATGCCATTTAATGATATATAGACTAGTGACCATGAGATGTAGATCCATGTAGCTCATTTCATGGTTTCCATCAACCAACCGACATTTAACATGAGGACCAGCTCTTCATTTGATGTAAACTGACTTTAACAGTCATCCAGTTCCAACAGAGCTGGCCCCACGTGTTCTCAACAGCCACATATATACCAATGTATTTTACAAGCTTGGGAACATTCCTGGGCACTGAACCCAACTGGCAAAGAACAGCCTGCATCTAAACTCTGTCAGCCTTCAGGACAGGTTGGCTGCACATAACACTTATTGGGAGTGGTCTCTGGGCATTGGAAGAATAGTGGTTGACCAGGACTGAAATTATACTGGGGACAAACTAAGAGGATACCAGTATACTGGTATTTGTTAATACTGGTTACTGGGTTGTTATTATCTCATTTACTGGTACAGAAATAGCCAGAAATAGAAAAGCAAGCAATGAGTAAGCCCTCTTAGAAAGGTCAGTTCATACCACGATTCTCAACCCACAGATCATGACTGCTCTTCTGGCTTGGCTGTAGATGGGTGCAGAGTTACTGACTGCATTCCCTTCCCATATTCTTAACAGAAGAATATTAAGTCAAAGAAGAGCTGGGATAAGTAATTTTCCTCTTACGTATGCACAAAGTTTTATCTGGACTCTAAGCAGCTAAAATGTTGTACACACAGAAATGAACTTAGAATTTATATTCTAAGAAGTCCTGAGGGCAAAGGATGGACTCCCAACAGCCCTGGGACAAAAACACTGAACAATTAATATGCCCTCAGCAAATATTGTACCCTGAGCTCCCCATTGATCTGAAGAAAGAAGTCTTCACAAAAAGCAAAATGATAGATTGCAAGCAACCTTATTCTGACAGATACAGACTACTGGGCTCTAACAGGTCTGGCCAGCTGTAATTTTTGGGATTCTCTGTGTCATTGTTCTTAGTACAAGCAACACACCTGCGTGAATGGGTCACAGTCGACTATGCGGTATGTCCTGCCATACATGGTGATGTTTATGCCTCGATTCAGATCTTTCCAGTGGTAATGCTCCCCATGGTCATTCTTGGGCACTCGGTGGCGTCTGATAAGTTTTCCTTGAAGGAGAGCAGAGTTCCTCACAACAGGCTCTATAACGGTCATGCTGTCATCTTCCAAGTAGTAGTAGATGCGCACTTGGTGGATCCGGTAATGCTCTTCTGGAGAGAAAGGAACATCTTCCTGGAAATAGGCATCAAACTTCAAAATCTGCCAAAGGAGCAATATCCCAAAGGGAGAGAGAGAGAGAAACAATTTGAACACCATGCTTAGTCTATTAAGACAACTTACATGCTTTTCTTTTTCTATTAAGACAATTGTGCTTTGGCAATGCAAAGTTACTGGATTGTAATCTGTAAAATCATCAAAGCCAACTGTAGCCTAATCTGTGACTGATGAGACATCAGGAGGGTTTTTATCAAGACCTGCCTTTTACAAATTTGATATGCATAAAACTGGTGTTAAAAGTACAGCCTTTTCCCCACTCCCTCTTGATCACCTGCTATTTCACCTACTACCAGGTTCTTGGTTACTGCCAGCAATCTAGTTTACTAACATACGTGACTTTCTTTAGGATTGTCAGCTTTGCAGACCCTGATTTAGAAAAGCTATCAGGAGATTTTTAGTAAAGAGTTCAGCCGCATCTGTGGATTTTAAAATCTGCATGGGCCACCTGAAGTCACATCTATTCAGCACTAACAGCAAAAGTTAATCTGCACTGGAGAAACAAGGAGAGAAATCAGGATGCAAAGAAAATGCACCCTGCCAAAAGCCAGTCAATCACAGTTCCTCTGCTTGGCAGAAGTACGAAGAATATTCCTTCCAAGATCACTTATTGCCCCTAAGAGGATGTAGGTGGCCAATACCCTGCCTACATCAACCCAGAGGCTTGGGTAATGAAGTGATTATAAAGCCAGCAAGTTTCTACCAGCCAGCAAAAGTGCTTCAAAAGGGACCGTGACTTCTCCCAGCAGCAGTGGGGCCCCTGCAGCTCCTCTGGCTTGAATGAAGGGGCAGAGACGTATCTGCCAGATTAAACGGCAACATTTACATTACTCTGAAGGAATCACCGCGGTGATTAACACAGCACATCTGTTCCCCAGCCCGCCTCGCAGATGGGCTGAGGGTTGGCTGCGGGCTGCCTTTCCAGGCAGCAGGCAAACCCCTGCACGCGTTTGGGTCTGCTGAGCCTTGCACGCTCCGCAGCGACTGCTCTGTTCACGGCTGCACTCGCCAGCTCACAGAGTGCGCGACTGGCACATTTAAAATCCAGGGTCAGCTCAGGACTGCTCCAGGGAGACACACAGCCACCTCCTAGTCTGATACGATCACTGAGATGCCACGCAGGAAGTGCTAATGGAGCAGCACAGGTTGTAACACGCTGCGGTGACAAACACAACCGTAAATAGATAGACCACAGTTAAACGGCTGAACAGGGTCCCCATTGCAGGCTGGCTTTTACAGTTTAAGCTGAGTTACAAACTCAATATATTTTTGGAAATGCAGAAGGCCAGGCTGTGGTTTACAGGGCAATGGTTGTAAACTGAAGCTTTTCAGAGTTAGACAAACTTCTTTTCCAACGCCTGCTGGAAATGCTCTAGCATAACTTGTGGGGAATGTCTTACATCGTTTACGTATTATAATCCTCCTCCCAAGCAAAGAAAGCTTCTTTCAGTCTGGGGTTCAGCTGTCTCTGACTAAGGGCTGTGGCATCTGAAAACTGCTGTACGCTGTCCCATGAACCCTGGAGCTGACTGTTTATGTCTCTGAACTTGGCCAGCGATATTCCTGGAATAAGCTGCTTTATACCTTTTTGTCAAAAGCCACGTGTGCTGGAATGAAGGCTGGAGGTGCAGCCTGCTTGGCCGGCCCATAGGTCAGCGTGGGTCTCGTGTTGGATAATTCATCTAATTCAGCTTGAGAAAGCTGATTCACATACAGTCGCTCCCCGCCGATCCCCACTGTTGGCAGCCGAGAAATGGCAAATCCATTTTTGTAGCCCAGTGTCTGGGACCGATGAAAAGACGTTTTCTGTGGAAGGAAATCCAGCTGTTAAAATACTGCATGCATTTAGTAGATACAGCTTCTGAAAGCACAGAAAAACAGTAAAAGAGTGTCATATCCAGAATGCCCTCCCCAGCATTTCATTATAACCTACTGCAGCAGTTATTTACAATCAGATTTAACACGTAGCTCAAGAAGGCTGAAAAAAAAGTAAGTGGCTGGAGAAACAAAGCATCAAAGTGAACTAAAATCCTAGCACTGGCACAGGCTTCCCCAAAGCTTAAAACACTTAATTTCCCTACTGCCACTCTTCTTAGTGTCTAGAATGGGGTGACAGCCTTTATCTGCCCTAGGATTTGTCTCACAAACTCCTTCTTCCCTACTCTGTGTTATGAGCACCATAGGACCTCACTCTGTTGTTGTCTTACAGTGCTCCCTTGACTATTACACTTTGTGCACACTGCTTTCTGCTGCTGTTTCTTTTTTTAACCCTCTCCTGTGGATGATATTCACAGGATTTTCTTCACTGGGCTACATCAAGGTGTGTCATGCTCACAGAACTGCAGTTATGAAATGTTTCATAGCACACTGGATGTTTCACCACTTCTCTCCCCAGCCCATGAGAGGGTCACACAGGCTGTTGGACTAGATGATGGTTGTAGGTCTCTTCTAACTGTCATATTCTATTCTAGCCACAGCGTTAAGACCCTATAGCTGATTAATGAGAAGTCTGATAAGGCAAGAAGAATTCAATCCATGTGAATACTGATTAATGCTGTCTATAGGATTCACCTGTTATTTTTTGTGTTGTTGGTTTAATCTTGGTTTTGAGTTTCTTGAAGCCTTTCATCTATTTTTGCTACTTGCCTGACACCAGCTACTGAGCCATTCTTCAAGCTAAATAATTATCCAGGTGGCACAGGAAGGTCCCTGCTTTGGTTAAGGACATTTAAGAAAATGTCAGAGCTGTGAGTAGGACCTGGTCTCTGCCAGCCCTCTCCTGTTCTTCACTACTGAAGATTAGGATCAGACTTGAGCGACACCAAGCTGCTCAACTTGCTGTACAGTCCACCACGCCTGGGACCTCACCTGTGATCCTGAATGCATTTGAAATAACGCAGGCCTGGCTGATCCCTTGATGCTCCAGAGAAAGCAGAAGAAATTGTGAGTCCTTGATAAAAAAATCCCTGACTTTACCTCGACTTTTGCCAAGTAAAACAGAGTTGTACACATTTCTAGCGCTGAAGAAACAAGCTTCAGCTTTTTTTCCAGACTCAGACTTTGCAACCAGTCCAACCTCAGGCATGTGAGCCACTTCTTCTCCACCTCCTCCCTCTCCCCTCATGGTTAAGCCTCTAATCTTATTTATACCTTCAAGGCCCCACTTGAATTTCACATAATTGCCTGTTTTCTCTTTAAACTGGTGCTACAGATCTTGCAATGCTGGAGAGAGAGCAGTTAGGAAAACAGGTTCAGGTGAAAGCAAGAGAGTTTACTGAAGACATGTTAGCAGAACATCTTATAAACATTAGCTCTGCCACAAAACTGCCATTCTGTTAAATAAATACCAAGGGAAAGCTGTGGGAAAAATATTCACAGAAAACCAGGAAGCTTGTCTTTAAATTGGGCAGTATCAGTGTTTGTCAGAAGTGCACAGGCTTTTAAGGGCCCACTGCTGCCTAAAGAAAACGCCTCATAAATTCATACGGCTCCTAAAGTCGATAGGCTCTCCTAGGGAGCATGGATGCCAGATAACATCTCACAGTATCAAGTGACTAATGTAAATTTAAAAGGGAAAACCCAGAATGTAAACTCCTAATCTCAGCTGCTGCCAGTCTCTATCTGAAGAATGTCCATTGAATTAAGGCCTTCTTTATGCCAAGTCTGTAACGCTTCACGTAAACGCCATTCCCCCTCCCAGTGTCTCGGTTTCTGCCACAGGAGCATTAAGCAATAACAATATTGTCTTATTTGAACGCAGAGGTTTTCTTCAGCACTTCCCAGCAATCCGCTGGAAAACAAGTATTGTGATACCCATTTTATAGATTGGGAAACTAAGGCAAAGTGAGTTGACAGCACACACTAGGGCTCAGCCTGAGCAGCACTGCAAAGCCATTTCTGGAGTCCAGGTCTCCTTAAAATGTTACCAATAGGTCAATAATTCAACGATCTACTCTGCAAAGTCCTGTGCGTGTTTCTTACATACACACAGTGCCGCTGAAGTCCGTAGAAGCATTCACACGACTAAAGCAGGCAGGATTTTACTGTCAGAGGAAGTAATGTTTTGCTAGGAGCAGAGATTTGCATTGCAGATTTCCAAGATGTTATAAATTACATTGAAGAAATAGTATTATTAAACTGAGAATACTTCTGAGATAACCTTTGTCACTGCATGATTGAGAATATTCCTTATGAGTAAATGACTCCATTAACTGCTGAAGAACTCAGTTGTCACTGACTTAGAAATTAGTTTGACTGTTGATACTGGAAGGCACCACTAAGACTGGAACAGTGACAGTTTATCCTTGGATAATCCTAATCCACACACACAAGCAGAATAAAGAGAAGAGAGGGCCCTATTTAGAAAAAACAGAGGAAACTGGGATCTCACAAAAGCATCCAGAATGATTTGGACTGGGTTTACCAAAGCCCATCATGACCCAGCCCTTGTCAAGAGCACATCCTGTCAAGAAGACACCTGTCAAACAGGTATTAGTGACAATACCACCTAAGAAATATACCTTCCTAAGGAAGCACTCAATCCCTTCAGTGTTGTTAAGATCCTTTAGAGGTTCCTCCCCACTTTGAGAAGCAATCAAGTGTTACAGAAATTTCTATCAGTCACAAGGATACCTAGGAAATACTGTCGTCTCCTCTAGAAATATCAGGAGCATTGCAGTGGCAGGAGATGGAAGGGAAGCTTTCCTCCTTTGGGAGAATTAGCACTTCCATTAGAAGATCAAATAAGCATGAGGTCTGTGTCCTGGGAAGTAAAAAGGGTCTGTGAGTGATTCGGGAGGAGCAGAACGGGCTGACCTCCAGTGGGGCTCACCATCACGTGAGAAAACCTGCCAAAGGGTAGACTGGATTGGTAAGAGGTTTCCTCTTCTGTAGAGCACGATCTAGGGGATGTATCAGGAAGACATGGAAGCGCTTGTTCTGGAGGTGTCAGTATTTAATGGGAATATCGAGGATAAGGAGTACTGTCCCAATGTGTATATCCATTTTTTTGCAGTAGAGCATGTCCCATGAGAAATGTTCACATGCAAGTACAAGAAGCTCCTTATCCTGCAATACCAGAGCGTATTTGGGCCCTGTTCTCCTGATGACAAGGCAACTTGGATGTATTGGGAGGTAGCAGGAGGAAGAAAGGGCCTCACTCAAAATCTTGAGCCTTATAGATATGGAGAAGCCTGTTCTTAAGGATATTAAGCTCCAGGGAAATGTAAGGCATGCCCTGGTCTATCAGTCCCCTACAAAATTCTGGGAGCATTGCTTCTGAGGGAAGCAGTCAGGTTCTGGTTTCTGGTCAGGTATTGGTTTCTCAAACTGACTTTATTAGCACTGAGTTGAAGTTGAGCAATGGTGTCAAGACTTGTGATAATAGTTCCCCCAGGAGAAGGAAGGGTGTCAGCTGCACTGAAACAGTACTGGGAGGAACTCAGGGAGTATCAATTCTCATCTGTGGGACTGCTTTGTCAAGGGAATATTGGGAGGATTTGGGGTTCTCAGATGCTCAGTGTGTGGGCTGTTGGGGATGGGGAAAAGGAAAGGTTGCTTCCATGTTTAGGTATCAATTGAAGTGCAGAGAATGAGAATGCTTCTTCCAAGCAACCTGGGAACAGCTAGGAGGGTCTTGCTTCCTTGAGAGGATCCTGGAGGCTGCGGTGTCATCAGTTCTGTGGAGGGACACCAGTTCTCTGAAGACTACCAGTTCTCAGGTTCTAGAGCATCAGTTCCCTATGGACTGTGAAGGATTCAGTTCTCTGGGTGATATCAGGAAAGCATTTGTGGAAGTATCAGAGCTTTGGAGAAGGGGGTATCAGGAGGGTACCGAGAGTCCAGGAGATCGGTGACTTCAGGGCATATCTGTCCCTCTAAGAGTGGTGGGTGGGTTTGGACATTCCTGTTTCCTTAGGTGTACTGGGGTGGTTTTAAGGATTAATTACCAGAGGAGGACTGCTTGAGGTCTGCAGTGTTGGTTCTCCTAGGTATATCAAGACAGTTGAGAGAATACCAGGTGTATTTAAGGGTCCTGGTTCAGAGCAGTATCAGAATGAGTAGCAGGTCCAGAACGCATCCATTTGGGAAAAAATGAGATGGCTCAGAGAAACAGGAGTTTTCCTGTGGGAATCAGGTTTCAAGACTGTAAAGTGAACATGGAGATACTCCTTCCCTTGGGGTACCACATGAACTGACAAGGGAACTATTGGATGGATTCAGGGGCACTGGATCTCCATGGGGATAGCAGTTCTGCAGTTACAGAGAAAGGTTATGGGTTCTCAAATGAAGCTGAGGGAACTGAGCTCTCCACAGCTATAAGGACAATTTCAGGGCATATCAGATGAGTGCAAGATACAATGGTTTCCTTGGGGATGGGATTAAGAGCACCAGGTCCCCCGGAGAGTGGATTTAGGAATACCTCATTCCCAGCAGCACACTTTAAATTACATTGGGAGAACTTAGGGAGTACCAGGTGTGCTGTGGGTGGGATCAGGGGACATCAGGTGTATTCAGAGAGTTCAGGTCCCCCAGAAATGAGTTCAACAGATATTTGTTGGCTTTAGGAAACACCAAGTCCCTGAGGGAAGAGTTCAGTGAGTATTAGGTCCGCTGTGTAGCAACAAGTGAGTTTACAAGGCACTAGGTTCCTTGGATGTCACTTCACAGGGTACCACAACCCCTGAAGGGTGTGCGGTAAGTTTGAGGGGTACCAGGTTCTCAGGACGTGGGTTCAGAGGACACCAAGTTCCCTCAGGGATATTAGGTGAACTTGGAAGGTACCAGGCCTCTTGAAGGTGGTCTGACGAAATACCTGGCTCCCTGGGGGTGGGTTCAGCATGTAGTTTGTTTTCTAGGGGGATATTAGGCAAGTATCAGGGGAAATAGGTAGGTCTCCTGGGGAGTTAGAGGAGGGTCTGAGGAAGTACCAGGCTCCCTGGAGGTGTATTCAGGGGATACCAGGTTCCCTGGAGGGGGCGCGAACAGGGAACAGGTCATTGCCCGCTTCCTGGAGCAGGAGGGAGAGTGTAGAGGCCCGGTTCTCAGGGAGGCTCTCAGTGAGGACGTGCTAGGTCAGGCCAGACCAGGAATGGGGATGTCCTGAGGGAACAGGGGCAGGGGATCTCCGGGAGGCAGGGTACACCGGACGGCTGCGCTCACCATGGGGTCCCTGAAGGCGTAGCCCGGGAGAAAGGGAAGGCCCTGCCCCGGCTCCGAGCTCATGGCGGAGGGGGCCG